GTTTAATAGAATATATGATGCTCCATTCGTTTCTAGATATAAACATTTTTAAAGATTTCAATACAAACTATATACGGATGTATATAGACATATTTTAGAGTGTGCATTCACTCATATTGCTTCGTATGTAGTCCCTCATTGGAATATCTAAAAGGACTTATATTTAGAAACGAAGCGAGTATTTTCTTAGTGTTGTTCTTATTGTCTTCAATAAGTCCAAGATGATATCCTCACAAGAAGTGGATTTTAAAAAATAGCACATTTGCTAGTCTTCGGTTTCAATTGATTTTTGTCATGCAACGACCGACTGAGGGTGAGCAGGCAACAAGCCAGAGGCGGGACGGCGTTGCGCCGCCTGTAGAGGCGGGGCAGAGGTTGACATGTGAGGGTGCAAGGGTGCGAGGGTGGAGGGAGCTCGTCGGCCCTGATAAAGGGGGTGAAGGTTTAGAGGGATGGTCGGGGGCTCGGGGCCACAACGGCGAGGTGGAGGTAGTGGCTCGAACAGGGTGGGACAACGAGGCGACATGGTAGTAGCAACACCCATCATGGGTGGCAGTTTGGCTGGCGGTGGGCGACGGCGGTGGTTGATGGATGCGGGTGCAAATGTGCACGGGAGGAGGGGGGAGCAGGCTCGCCAGCCCTAAAGAAGGGGACAGTAACTTTAGAGGGACGGTTGAAGCCTCAACAACGAGTTGTGGAGGGCTCAGATAGAGCGGGCCGGCAAGGCAACACGGCGGAAACGTCAACTACTATACTTCATTTTGAGCCAATAAAATTTATGCTTTGTCAGAAAAAAAAAACATCAACCACGTGTTGTGGTCCAGTGGCCGGGTCGGGGAAGCGCAACATCGAAGGGCGCGACGGCAGGCTGACGAGGATGGACAGAAAAGCAAACTTTTTTCATGCGACTAACAACAAATAGTCGGTCAAAAATGAAAGGAAAATAGCCTCGGTGGAGATTCTGCCGGTCTGGCTTGAACCCAATGGAAGGGGAGTGTGACGGAATGACTTTTGCTTCTAAAAGCTTCCCTTCACTTTGCTCGCACGTACGTACGCACGCCCACTAAGAAATTCCTCAAGACATCAGGTCTCAGGGACGACGAGAGAAGAACCCCATTGCATTGTTTGTTCTAGGCTGCGGAAGGAATGATTCGACAGAGACTTTTTTCATTAAAATTATGCCTGAATTTCCGGTGTTTAGTGCTTCATAATAATTGGAACTAAGGTTGTAGTACTATCTCTCTAACACACATGATTCCGCATCCACCTTTCATGTCGGAAAGCTTAAACGGATGTGGGTCAGCCGCCGTCAAGCCACTGTCAGCAGCAAGGGGTGAGGCCACGGTCATGTACATGGCAAAACAGTTTGAGATAAAGATAGGGACCGCATATTCATCGGTTAACTGAAAAATAAATTGAAATTTTTGGGCCGTCAAATCTCCATCCATTGGTCAGGATTGCGCCGCTACTGTTGAGTGTTGTCTGCATTCTGCTCATGAAAGCCAAGTTATTAGCAGCAGCAACTCATGTCCTCGAACGGAACGTCTTCTGGGGGCAACTCATTCATAACTGGCAGGCAGAAAACAAGTCAATGATTCCCAAGATGATACGAACCACGGAGACTAAAGCAATCCACTCATTTGATATACATAATTGGTATATGGCCAAAGATACACCAGCTGCGAAAAGTTAGAGAGATATACTCGTTTGATTTGTGCCACGGCCAGCCAAAGATTACAAGCAGCAGGAAAAACAGATATGATAAGATCAGCAGGGTTCAAAATGCACGGATCAGCTCAATCAGACACTGTTTATTTATTTATTTGCTTAATTTTTCCCCTTTCTTTCCTGTTACATATCGTGCCTTGAAAAGATCAGCAAGCAAAAGCTGCAAGCCGGTGATTCCATTGATCAGAATGGAGACCCAAAGGTGTTCTGAACATACATACACATCGGTGTCCCAGTGACGAGAAGCGAAGAGCCCGCATGATTCTAGGCTTTTGGGCACGGAATGATTCGACAGAGACTACGTTTGCATCTACTAGGAGCAAGATTCATGTTGGGACATGATCACACCCACAGTGCATGCACGTGTAAGCCCAGGCAGAGAAAAGATATCCAGTACGTATCGAAAAACCCAAGCAAGCAATTATGCCAATCGACAAAGAGGCATGCATGATCCAGCTCCTGAATTTCCGATGTTTAGTGCTTCATAATTGGAACTGAGGTTGTACCATGTCTTCAACACACATGATTCCGCATCCACCTTTCATGTAAAATCTTTTAGCCGTTGGGGCTCTTTCTTTTGGTTCATGCCTAACCGTCAGATATATCCTCAGAGGACGATGAAACTAAGCGAAGCAGGGCAGTGAACCAACTTCTTTTTCCCTTGATGATAGCCTACTGTTTTTTCAATTTCGAAACGGATAGCCTGCTGTTTTTCAAGTCTAGTGGATCAAGCGATGTGCTCAGCTGCCGTCAAGCCACTGTCAGCAGCAAGAGGGTGAGGCTACGATCATGTACAGCGCGAAACAGTTTGAGATGAAGATAGGGACCCCCCTGTTCATCGATTAACCGAAAGACAAAATTATATTTAGTCGGATTTTCGGGCCCTGACTTTTAGCAAAACCGAAAGAGATAACCAAGACCAGTGTCGTCTGCATCCTGCTCATGGAAGCCAAGCTATTAGCAATTTACCAGCAACTCATTGTGTACATGTTTGGGGGCAACTCCCATATCTACTGTAGCAGGCAGAAAACAAGTCAATTATTCCCAAGATGATACGAGCTGCGGAAACTAAAGCGACCCACTCATTTGATATGAAGTGGTCTGGCCAAAGATACACCAGCTGCAAAAGGTAGAGAGATCTACTCGTTTGATTTGTGCCACAGCCAAAGATTACAGACAGCAGAAAAACAGATGTGACTACATCAGCAGGGTTCAAAAATACACGGATCAGCTCGATCAATGACACTTGCAGGCTGGTGATATCGTCCATTGAAAAGATCAACAAGCGAAAACTGCAAGCTGGTGATCCGTTTGATCAGACCGGAGACCCATATACATCGGTGAAAGATAACCAATACTAGAGCAAGAAGTTGAATTTGGACCTGAAGACAAGTCATGACCTAGGCACCTACCACTGGGCTGTATCTATACAGGAATCCCAGAAAAATGCCGAAACACATTATGAAAAAATCCTCATGCAATCCGAACAGCTAAATGAATAAATGGTCCTCTGAAAAAATGAATATATGGTTAAGAGTTCTCCAGAAAAACTGTACATGCACTACAGTAGTCACCTGGAAAATTTGGCTATCACTGAGCACAAGTTAAATGGAAGAATCGATACAAAACATTACATTCCACAATACCATTACAAAAAAAATATTCTCACGCAAACAGACATCATGTTTGCTCCAGCATTCCTCTAAATGCAAATGAGGACAGCATTATCTAACATATGTCCTCGAATGAAACAAAAAAAATCAGATTGAGGCTTCTTATGTGCTATGTCATATATTTCAGCTTAGAGAAGATAATTCAAAACGGTGGCCATTCTTTTATTTGAGAGAAAACGTGACTATGTTAGACAGTGTAACAACTAATAAACAGGCATCCCGATGTTGGATGTAAATCTTAATGGGATTCACAGACATCAATTTACACTTATATTATTTGGTTATGCTGACTAGATAATTTGTTGAGCAAAATAGTCTCGGCAGCAATGCAACTAATTCAGGTAGATCTAGAACCCTATCAGGTATGCAGAGAATCACCACCAGCATCATATCACGAAGCATCAGGGCATAGAGACATAATGCTCTCACTGAAAAATACAATTTAAGATGGCAACATAAGCAAACAACATACAGCTGGGATAGGCCTGCTGCAGATTGCGGAATGATTATAGTTGATCAAAAAGAACAACGGTCTCAAATTGCATAAAAGGATGCCGTCTGACAAGTTATCTAATACTCCAACCAACACATCACTTGGTCAGGGTCAGAATCACAAAACAAGGACGCTTTTCTACATTGTTATCCTATAATCAGCTAATGGAAATTCAAAATTGGCTTGAATTGGGTACCATGAATGTCTTAAATGGTCAATTAGGTTCAAACACAAATCTTCATCTGAATGAAACAGTCAATACCAATGTAATACCATTACCGCACCTATTCCATCCAATCCCAGTGACACCAAAATTGCACAATAGATCTGCTGAGTCTAAAGCAGGATAACATACATTCCTAGTCCATACATAGGGTTGGTATTTCCTATACCGTGGCACCTCGTGACAATCTAAATCATTGTTTGAATCACAATTTTTGCAATAGCATGGAAATGAGTCAACAAAAAGCAACCAGAATAAATTTGGTCCGTGGGGAAACAGCATATTCATCTTTCGCAGTTTGTAGGTTCAAAATAACGAGACCAAGGGTACAAGCAACCCCCAGCACATAATTAAGAAGCAAACAAGGTACAATAGTTTATTTGCCCCGCAAAATAGATCAATGAGATTTAATCTGACCCACAGTGGTCGAACCCTATGCTATTTGCGCAGTTAGAACAACATGTAATAGTGGAAGGCTGAAGCTACATGAACTACTGATTACTCATTAGCATAAACTGAAAAGGATAGTGGCAGAAGCATGCTATATAAACAACAATGCTGGAATCATAAGGCATTATTAAGACGATCGAGTGATTAAATTATTAAACGAAACAACAATATCCATAGCAATGTCACATAGGCATAATTTGTAACTAGAGCGGCTAAAGCAAGGCTCAAGCTGAGCAATGCGCTACAAAAACATAGCATGCATAATAACCTGATTTCTTCTATACATGGCGGCAAAGGGTGGAAGCACGTCATCGGATACATCTCATTCAGTGCCCAGCGGCGGTAGCATCCTCAATGATCAACCTGAGCCTTCGGCTCAACACATCAAGCTCATCAATCCTCTGCGCCCTCCATCGCCTGGCGAGTTCGCTTTCCTGGGCATTGCCACCGTTGACTATTCCATCGGCCTTTGCCTCTCTCAAACACTCCTCAAATACATCCAGCACGGCGCTTGCCATGCGATGCTCGCTGCTACGCGGCAGCAATACATTGCAGTTACCGTTCTGACCGGTACCTCCATTGTTCATAGCATTTTGGGGATTACCTCCATTGTTGACAGCATTTTGGGGAGCTGCGTCGTTGCCAACAACTCCATTGTCACCGACATCGGTGAGAACAGCCATTGTCTCAGCCTGGTCCAGCGCAATCCCGTCCAAGGTAATCCCATCAAGGTTGCCGTCGGCAACAAAGGCGGCACCCTCGTCAAAATAGAGGTGGTGGCCGCTCTCCTGCTCAAGATACATCACATCCTCGGCGCCGTTGTCATCGGGGAAGGCAGCGCCGGGGGTGGAGGAACTGATCCCATTGTAGCCATGGGAGTTGCTGTCCCCCGAGGGGGCCGGGACGTCGAGCGGCACGACGGCAGGGTTGGAGCGGCGGCGCTTGTTCCCCGAGGAGCCTGCGGGCGCGGCGGCGGCGGCGAAGGGCGAGGTGGCGGCGTTGGCGGGGTCCCAGAGGCGGGAGCAGAGGTGGAGGACGTCGCGGTCGTGCGGGGCGAGGCGGGCGGGGTCGAGGCCCCTGGCGACGCGGGAGGAGACGTTGCGGTGCTTGTTCTTGAGGCGGCGGAGCTTCTCGGAGAGCTGGGAGCGGGTGTAGGGCTGCGGCATGGACTCGGAGAAGCGGTCGTAGAAGACGTTGAGGTCGCGCGGGAAGACGAGGCCCTGCGCGCCGCAGCCGAGGAGGCCCTGCAGGAAGCGCAGCTCGTCGGACTCGGACCAGATGCGCTGGAACTTGAAGGGCGGGTTCTGGCCGGAGG